AAATCCCTCAGACGTGCCAAGTGGAGTATGAGTCAGAAGCAGCAGAATAAATTGTCCTTTAGCCCAAGTGATGGAGTGAATTTGCTTTAACGGAAGTTGAAAACTAGATTATCTACTGTATTATTCCCAGCATGGGTGACTTCTTTTTCTCTTCATTAGCCAGAGATGACTAATTTAAATTTAGAACCCTGATTTTAATTTAAAATAATATTTCCATTAATAACCTATTCATTGCAGATACCTATTATACTGTGTAACAGTTGTTTTGGAAATTTTATGTAAAATTAAAACTATCAGTATTTTACAGATGTTTTAATTAGACATTGTTATTAACATGAACAGTGCAGAAACTAAAATCAAGCCTTTAATGTCTTATAGACCATGCATTTTTGAAGTTAGTGTCCACCAGGGTCCTATTAACTGTACATTTGCAAGATTTCATTATTTTTGCCTCTGACACTATGGGAAAAATCTTTTAGAAGCTATTGGGACAGATTCAGGCTTTTATGTACTTGGTTACTACAGCTGTAAAATGAAATCTTGTCTCGTAGCATGGCTGATTCTTCTTGTGTTAAACCCACCAAAACGAAGGGGACTAAGGAGGTAATGATTTTCCTAGGGCATTTGCGTACTGTGATAATCCTGGGCCTTTGCAGTTGTTTTACAGGGCTCTTGGGCATTGAATTATTAGCATGTAATTGTGCATCACTGTAGTGTCTTACTGAAGCACACACTGATGTTAATGAGCTTCGGGTTTTGATGCTTGTTTAGAGATCAACTTGGTCTTGGATGGGAGGGAGCAAAGCTAAATAAATGGCAGCTCCCTCTGCTTTGGTAGTTTGGTGAGCACTTTTTTCTTGTTTTGGGGGATGCCCCCAATTAGTACTTAAACATACTGGAGTGCAAAAGGCAGATGTGACAGGACCACCACCCCCGATTGGAAGGATGAGTGGAGCAGCAGAGAAGATGGATCTGGGAGCCTAGCCGGTAGTCAACTAACTGAGCAAGTCACCTGGCCTCTCATGCTCCTTCAAAGGAGGGACATGATATGGAGATACCTGTAATATGGAGATAACGCTAATGCCTACCATATAGGCTTGCTGTGAGGGTATTTAGTAGGTGGGGTTGGATGCATGATCCACATAGGAGGTGTTCAGAATTGAGCTGGGTAAATAAATACTAAGTGCTGTGCAGTTTTGTTGATGGTGATGCAGGTATAGCAGGACTGTCCGCATTTAACACTCTGAAAAGGGTTGGTAGAATTCATCTCCATCATCAGTTCAATGGAGAAAGTCTTCCTGAGGATTAACAAAAAGAGACATTCTACTACATTTGAACTCCCTGAGGGCAGGTCCACACAGAGGGGCTCAACATGTGGGTAGAGGGCGCTGCTTGGTGCTGGTGGATGGGCAGCCTTCACTATCAGTGGGTTACCTGGGCGCCTGGGAGTGACCCTTGGCCTAAGCATTATCAGGTGTTTGTTAGTTGCCATGTGCTGAGTGCCGTGCTAGGCAGTAATTAAGCATGTAAGCAAAGGATTCTGCCATGAGGATCGTTACTGGCAGAGGAGCTAAGGAGAACACACAAGTCATCACGAACACGCCAGTGTCCCTCCTTTGAAGCCATCCCAGGGCACCGTGAAGTCTTCCCTCCTTTGTGCCCATCCATGTAGCACTTGTTAGATCATGCTCTAGTCCTCATGCATCTCTTCTGCCCACTAGATGGGACTGTGTCTTCTTTATATCTGCTGCCATACAGATAGGCACTCAGATGGTTATTGGGCCAATGAAAACTAGCTGTAAATACTACAGCAATGTAATGCTAAGAAGGCAAAGGAAGAGAAAATAAGTTTCATTTTAGACTTGTTGCCCATAGGGGAGGCTCCATCAGACACTTGGGAATAATGGAGCTGATGCTCTAGAGGCAGGTTAGAGCTAAAGAAGAAGCTGACATCACGGGTGGGTCAGGAATTAAATGGAGTGGCAGGAATGGGTGAGACCACCTGAACATAACATACCCAGCCAAGTATTTTACTACTTCCGTCCATTCTAGTGTGGCCCTGTGGGCCATTAAAATCTTAATTTGATATTTTATTTACTTAACAAACATTATATAGAGCTTGTTAACTGACCTATCCACAGTGAGGTTTATGAAGATAAATAAAAATCTTATTTTAGGTCTGGGTTACTGTAAACATTCCCAGCTCAGCTGGCTGGTCTGTCTTGGGTCTCATGGAAGAGACTTAATAACAAGTATCTAAAGGACTTCATTTTCCGGCCATCCCATTTAAAGGGCCATCTAGTGGTATGACTTCAAGGACAGTGTTTGCTACGGTTTTACAGTAATCCTGTCCTGGACACAGAAAAAGAACGAAAAGACTACAAAGGAATTAGAGAACACCCATTGTCAGGAGATGATTATTGAGCACCAGCCCGAGCCAGGTGCCTGCCGGGAGTGGAAGAGGGCAGAGCACCACCCCAGTGAGGGAGACAGAGGGCTGTCCACTCACTCCATTCTCGCTTCTTCAGAATCAGCTGATTCCACGGAAGCTCTGCCCGCCACTCTGCATCTGTTAGAGCTGACTGTAAGGCCTGGGATAGGAAAGGGGACTGGCCTGCCTCACCATCAGTGACGGTCCCAACACACAAACACCTTTAATTGTGGATGTCAGAAATGGATGTCATTAATTACCCTTAATCCACATTGAAAAATTGCAATAACATGTTGGACAGGGAAGTCAAAAACACTCCTGCATGGGTTTTGTCCAACTGTTCTGCATCAGTGGTTGTTCATGTAGATTGAAACTAAAGTCCATGGGCATTATGATAAAGAATTTTTTAAACTGCATTTACCTATTTCACTAAAACACTGTCTCAAGCAATAGAATCGCTTTTTCATATTAGTTGTTTTCACCGAGCCATATTTGCATTATCAGGTTTCTTTGGCATAAGTCACAAAAACCTATCTCAGCATAAATGCACAAGGCCTTTGCTGACTTCTGTTATGCCAGCCATCAAGATCTACTACCCCAAAGCATGCTGCTCTCTCAAGGGCAACCAGACCAAGACCCCAGAGCCCCAGAAATAATTTCTCACTTAAAAGGCATATCTTAAAAATCAAACAATTTTAAATAGCTTACTTTTTTCAGTGCTTAGCTTCATGTCATACACAATCTCAACTCCTGTTTGTTTCACTGGCTGATATGCCTGAGAAGATCAAATTATTAAGTGCCCACAGTGGGTAGAGCATTAAGGAAGACAGCAGAATATAACTTTGATTCCTACAGTGCATTTCTTCTAGTTGGGAAATCAAGGCATATAAAAATACATTAACAGTTCAAAGGGCTATGACAAGCTCAAGATAGTTCTGTAAGAAGTTGTGTGCAGTGACTAAGTGCTTTGGAACAGTAATCACAACACTGGCCAGTGAAGCAGATGGAGTGCTCAGACACTGGGCTAGGCCATTTCAAAGGAGAATGTCATTTGTTCAAAAGCAGTGAAAAAAGTGTCACAGTCGTGGTGCATTTGATGAAGGCTAAATAGGCAATAAAACACACACCTACTTAATACAATAGAGACATTGATGAATGATGAAGAATAAAGCAAGAGTGAGGGAGTTATTGAGAAAATGTCTGTCAGGGAAGGCTCTGATGGTAATCTGAGTGAAGTAGGGGGACAACGCCATGAATTTTAGATGTAGATAGTTAACCTTAGATGCCAGCATCTAGATCTGGCTGTGTTAGGTCTGAGTTTCCACACTGAGTTGGAGCCGAGTTCCTTCTGTGTCCTTCAGGTAGTCTTGGCCCTCTGCAGTTCACCACAGTCCCCACCTCTTCCTTGTCTTATACCCAGCTTGCTTTACTCATATTTTGTTGGGTTCTAAGTTCCTACTGGCATTTGAATTGTGGCTTCTGCTTTAGAAGGAAATACCACATCTTGGATTAAGTTAAATTTTCCTCCCAACAATTAATGGGCCAGTCTCCTATTTCCTTATAAATTTAGGTATACTTTTAATCTATTTTTTAAAAACTAACCATAGGACTCAAAATGTAATAGATTAAATCATATTGGTGTGACTTTAAAAACCCCACTAAAACAAGAGTAAAGGAATAAAGAAGGTATAAAATCCCCAAGGACAACCCACAAGAGGACGGTAGAGGAGAGGGTACAGTAATTTGGAAGATGGAAAGTGGGTGGAGTGTTGATAACTACAAGCAGTGCAAAGAAAAGAACCAAAATTCATCCTGTGGAAGAACCTCAAAGACTCAGGATTTTGAGACACTAAGTGGAGAGGAAGTGAAATGTGAGGCAGGACTGAGAAGCAAGGAGTTAGGTCACAGCTGGTTAACAAAATGGTTGGAGTCCCAGAAGCCCTCCCTCCCTGAGCAGCCAGATGAGCACCCCCAGCCAAGGCAGGAAAATGGGAGGTTTGTTCTTTGGGAAGGTGGAACCATGACAGTTAGGGTCTTGGGGACAGTGGGCATGGTGGTGGGCAGAGTGAGATATAGGGTTGAAAGTGGGGATTAGGTACATCTCTGCTTATTCTGTAGTGGGTTTCTGCTTCCCTTCCCTGTGTAATGCCAGGACCAGAGAGTGTGGAGATGGAATCAATAGTTAATCTGGTATTTGGGCACTTGGAAAATAATAATGGGTATCTGAAAGATCTGAGCCTGTGTTGCAAAAAAAATAAACAGTAGTTACTTAGAAAATAAGCAAATGAAAGAACAAGGCAGGTATTAAATCCAGGAAAGACAAAATTCAACAAAAAGGAAATGTAATCCTGATTCATTAGTTGGCTCTGCAGTTAACAGGTACAGTTCTCATAGAAATGCTCATTATCAAGTTAACCTGTACTTGTAATCATTTGGGGGTGATAGATAAAGACATGTATGTGTGATAGAGGCCCAGCAGAGGGATGAGAGAGCTACATTTCATTTCATCCAAAGCAGGAAGCCATTAGGTTATAAACCTGATAAAGAAGAAGCCACTGGAATAAAAGCATGACCTAAAACATCTAAGCATAATTACTTGGAGACATACTTTCCAAGGAGAAAAGGAGAAGAGGATTGGTCATGGGACTGAATGTAGATGGAAGTATTAGAAAGATGAACCTGGAAATAATTAGAAGGAATGGAGGAAGAACATGGAGGTGAGTAAGTACACAGTACGTTGTGTGTGGGGTTTTAGAAGTGGAAGCAAGTTACCATGTGTTTGCTGTGAGCAATGCCAAGCCACTTTTACCGTGAATGGAGTCAGGAATCCACAGAAGCTAAGAGGGCCCAAACATACTGCCACAAAGCGTGCACAGGAGCATCTTCTCTGTCCCTTTACCTATTCATTCTTAAAAGCATGTATCTACTTTTCACAGCAAATAAGCAACAGTTGAGTTTCCATCCTGAGATTTTGTGAAATCAAAAGGGTGGCAGTGGCCACACGTAAATGGACTAACAGCTACAAGAAATGTAACTAACAGAAAAAAAAACAAACCAAAACCAGGAACTGGCAGATGGGAATTGAACAGTACAGCAGTTTGAGGCCATTTAGAGACTTACACACCAAGGTATAGTGTAATACCTCATGATTATAAGAAGTTTAAGTTTAGCATATACAAAGATGAAATGTCTTATTTTAAATTCATTATATAAGACATTTTCTATTTGACTGCATTTTTCTATGAAATGACATTTTAAGGGGCATATGAGAGTATTCCACTCAAAATAATCAATACCCCAAATATGCTTTGTTTTTGTTTAAAAGGGTAAAACCTTTGGAATATTTAACTATACAAAATGTCCCTTTTCCTGGAAGTTTTCTTCTCCAGAGGAATCTGCCTTGCAGGGGTGAAGAAAATAAGGAAAAGAAGGTAATTTACCATAGGTAAGTTATAGTTGGGAAGAGGGGAGGCATTACTTAATGGAAGCCTTCAAAATCTTTCAAGAGTTAAAAGTAGATGCTTCAGATGGTGGGTTTCCAAGGGAGATGTTTGCAGCTGTTTATAACCCATAAGGAGATGTGGATAAGCCCAGGACTGGGGAGACTCATGGTGACTGTTCTAGAAGCTCAGGTGCCCCATCCTAAGTTTGGCTCCATTAGGAAGCTATGGCATTGGGAAGAAAAGGGCAGAACACACAGGATATAAGACATGAATGGTCAAAAAATGTTATTAGGGCCTAGAACTCAAAACAATGGTAGCTAATGGTTGAGGTGTACTTAGCCACCACTGTTAGCTGTAGACCCGAAGCACTCATCTCTGGAGGTGGGTCAGAGGCTTTCTGAGTGGGGCCTAGTCTGGTAGGAGATTGCTGCGGATAAAACCGGAATTAGGGAGAGCTGATGAGATACAGTATATTGTCCAAAGAAACAGACTTGACATTTCCTTCCCTGCCCTCATCCTTATCTGCCCTTGAACTGCCAGCCGGTCAGATGGCCTGTCAAGCTTAACTTCTGATTGGTTCCCCAACTCAAAATCATCCAGTGCATTCCAGCACTTACCTAATTACATGTTTTTCTTTGAAATGAAAATACCAGTCCACAAAGGAGGAACACCACAAGAAATTGTTCATCAAAATTTTATGGAGTCTAATTGTAAGAATAGCCTCCATTGCATGGCTTAATAGCACACATACCTGTAACTGAAATTCTGTATTTTGTTGACATCAATCATGAAAAATTAATGAAAATATCTCATATTTCCAAAACAATACAGTTGTCCAAATTAACCCAGTCTTCCAGAATAATTTTTTTTCTATTCCAATCATTATGCTCTTTTCCCTCTTAAGTTAATAAACCAGGAGGCCTCTGCGATTGTGTATGTGGCCAGGTCAGGATAAATGTGAATTCAAACAGACTCGAATTCACTTTGCCAGGCTGAGTATCTCTGAGTGAGATTCTTTGCTGAAGGCTTGGTGTGAGCTAGCACATCCAGAAAGTCGGCAGTGGTCACTGTATCCAGCTGGATCCCAGGTAAATTGCTGCTCTCTACGTAAAAACACAACAGTAACAGCACAACAATCGACCTTAGGGTGATCAATGCTCTTGAAATGCTAATAGACCTTCTTTCAAGACAATGCATAATGCAGCATTCTTAATGCTTAATGCAGCAAAAGGCAAGACTAAAGAGGTCTGGGGAAAAAATTCTCTAATGTGCAACTCAGCCCTTGAAGCCCAGACAATAATAAACATATTATCAAAGTATTATTTAATATTTATATACTGCCGCAAATGGATCCAGCCCAACATCACAGTGTGCCAGAGAAATAAAAGCCTGCGCCCTAAGGAGTTTATCATCTGGGGGCAAAGTTGATCCAAAACAACAGGGGAGGAAGCAGAGTTGAGTGCAGGAAGGATGATTTAATCAAAGAACTTTTCCAAGTGTGAAGAGCCACCAAGGACAGGAGCCAGGCTCCATCTGCTGGTGAAAGTTGGAATTAAAAAAAAATCTCCCGGAGCACCTTTACTGCGATCCCAACCATACCTGACTGATGGTTTTCCAATGCACTGAAGATCTTCCTCACAGGCCGCATGGCTGCTTCTCTGCAGACTAGCTTAATGTCTGAGCCCGAGTAGCCCTCTGTCTCCTGAAAGCCGCAAACCCCCATTGGTCAGCAGGCAGAACACTGGTGGTGATTCCATCTTACAGGCTGGACGGGTATCAGAGCCCCTGTTTAGCTATCTGTCCCCCATAAACACCATACAAAGATTGTGCTACATACAGTGCTTGGGGAAAGAAGCTGCTAACTTGTTTGGGTAACCTAAGAAACTGGACAATAAACAACTTTCTAACACCATCTAAACATATACTGGAAGGTGCTAGTGAGGGACTGGTCAACCCATTAGCCTAATGAGGATAATGAAATCCAGGATAATGAAATTTGGTGGACATTTTTGGTTCTTGGAAATAATATACCTGCCTTTGGGGAGCCTCAGAGAACACCATGTTTAAGTGTTCACTGTGAGGAGGCAATGGTGCCAGTGACAATGGGTGTAACAGACGTGTACCCAGAGCTTCTCCGTTTGTGAAAGGCTCATTTAGTCATCACAGTAATCCTTTGTGGCATATCTTTTACGCATTTTACAGATGAAGCAGCTGAGGCTCAGAGAGTAAGTGATTTTCCTGAAGTCACACAGCTAATAAGAGACAGGGTCAGGATTTGACCACAGGTTCTCTGAGTGTAAACCCTGTGTTATTTCTGCTATGTCGCATTGTTTCATTGCCTGATTGTTTCCAAGTAACAACAAGCTCACTCTTTCATGAAGAAGAGGCCCATTGCATGGCCAAGGCAGCTTGGATCTTTTCCAAGTGACTCAAGGAAGAAGCTCCAAACTCTCAGTGAGAAGACCCTGCCTGCATGACTGGCAGGTGGTAGCTGCTTGGCCTGCAGACGCCTCCCTCCAGGCCGCTCACCTGGCTCAGCACGCTGTATTCCAGCTCGGTGCGCAGCTCCAAGGCTGTGTTCTTGCTCACAGGGGGCAGCCAGTGGTGGATCATGGCCTGCCTGGCCCCCTGGCTGGGGAGATCAACCAGAATCCTCTTCTCCAGGCGACGCAACATGGCACAGTCCAGCTCCCTGAAATCACATCAGAAACAGGAGCTGGTTGGGGCAGTAAACTCACATCTTAAGCAACAGCTCTATTTTAGGAACAGTGTATTTCAGGACACAGTTCTGCCTTTTTACTGTTACTCTACATCTGTGCCTGAGCAGATAGGACAACTGCTTCATGTTTGGGAGAAAGAATTGATTTAGAAAAGAAAAGAAAAAATATCACAAAAATACCTCATATAAAGGAGGTAATTCTAGGTGACTTAATTTTGGGGAAAAAAAATCCAGCTAACAATAACTTAACATATGAGCATTCCCTTTACGGTCATAACATGAATTATTCAGTCTGATCCTGCCAGTGAGTTATTATTATTCCTAACAATAACTTGAGTGCGCTGGGAAGTATATTAATTCTTCCCCAACTCTCATACATTCTGGAGCAAATGACTATCTCCATTGCTCTGGGGAACTCAAAGAGTGAATGACCCTTCCACAGTGTCCAGTGCAAACAAGGCCCTTGGAGACAATCAGGCTTGCTCTTCCCAAAACACTGTCAGGCCAGGTTTATGCTTTTTTTGCATCTGCAGGCCATTCCTCTAAGTTTTGTAAAATTCCCAAACAAACAGAAAAGTAAAAAAAAAAAAGTGAATATTGACCTACATATCAACCTGACCTCTTGATTCAACAATAGTTAACACTTTGCTGTGTCTGCTTCATATCCATTTATATAACTAAGTTATCTCAAAGTAGGTTGCAGCATGAAACCCTACACCTACATGCTTCAGCATGCATTTCCCTGAAAAAGGACATTTTGTTACATAACTACAGTATCATTGTGACATCTAACAGAATGAACACACTTCATAGTAAGTTTAATGCTAATTCTATATTAAAATTTCTCTAATCATCCCAAAAGTATTTTCACAGTTTTCCCACTGAAGTGCCATCAAGGATCATGCATTACATATGGTTATGTCTCTTAAATATCTTTTAATCTAGAGCACGCTCCTTGCCTTGGACCCTTTTTGAAAAGATAAGGCTAGTTGTAGATACCGTGTTCTGTAGATAACGTGTTCTACGGTCACCTGATGTCTTCCTCGTGGCATTGTGTAACTAACTGGTTCCTCTGTTCCCCTGTCCTCTAAGATGGAAGTTAGATCTAAAAGTTTAGTTAGAATCAGGGTGAATGTTTTTGGCAAGTATATTTCAT